GCACCACTCACCCTTTAGAAAAAAAACCCAGGAGTGTTCAAACTTAACAGCTTTAAGACTTGGGGACTTCAACTCCCAGAATTCCTCCTCTCGCTCTTCATCTTGATGTTGTGTGGACAGATGGGGGGAGGGAGCTGGAACCAGTTCTAAATGGCACTGTAGGTTTGTGGAACCTCTTCTATAGAAGAGGTTAGAACTGGCAGGAACCCACCCCTGTGTTGCAGCATCCCCATGGTCACATGATCAAAATTTGGATGCATGGAAACTGGCATGCATTTATGACAGTTGCACTGTCCCATGGTAATATGATCACCATTTATAATCTTTCCAGCTCCAAGCAAAGTCAATGAGAAAAGCCAGATTCACTTAATGACCGCATGGTTCACTTAACAGCTGCTCTTGGAAACTGTGGCAGGAAAAAAGGTTATAAAATGGAGCAAAACTCACTTAACCACTGACTTGCTTAGCAATGGAAATTTGGGGGCTCGATTGGGGTCATAAGTCAACGACAACCGGTATACTGTCATATTTACCAATTCATTAGAGAAAATTAATTGTGGTGCAGTGGCCTAGAGGTGGAGCTCTTGCCTCACAATCAGGAGGCTGTGAGTTCAATCCTAGATAGAGGCAGATATTTCTATCGCTGGGCAAGATGAGTAGTATATCTGCTGATTGTAACTCTGCATTGGGGACAGGAAGGGCATCCAGCCAGTAAATAGTCAGCTCCATTCAGACTTCACACTGCAAGGGATTATGGGGGTGATTAAAAGATGATGATGATTAGAGAAAATTCATTCAATTGGATTAATAAAATAAACCATTAACCATTTCAGTTATAATGAAGTTATAATGATGTTTCAGCCTTTATACCTTATTAAGTGATACTCTTTCTTTACGATGTCAAAACTATTGAGCCATTTCTTACTGTTCCATTTGAAGCATAGTATACTCTTATCCTCTATTACCATATACAATTTCTTTAAAAATTGAAAAACCTTTTGGCTGTGAAGGGAAATGTCTACAACTTACCGGAACTGAAATCTGAGGATTATTTTTCAGTTTTCCCAATGTGGTAAAGCCATCAATATTGATCTTCCCCCTTGGTTTTATGGCTAAAGTTTGTATCATAGTACAGTCGATATAAAGTGTGACGGAATTCTTTTCTATACCGACCATAACTTTATGCCACTGGGAATCAAAAAGATAAGGTAAATCCAAAAACGATGCTGTCTGGAGACTTCCATCAATTGCTTTATATGAGAAGTCAAGACATTTGGCTTGTCCGTTAAGCTTCAGTCCAACTTGCTCCTTTCCAGAAGAATCAAAAACTTGCCATAGGCTCCAGGATTTCCGAACTGTAGCCCCAGTCATCCGAAAAGTGGTCAGAATGGAGTATAGATCTGGTAGTCCTCGAGGATACAAGGATCTATAAAAATGCAAATAGAACAGGCTGCTGACTAGGTTGACTTGACATTGAGGTACATTATCATTTCAAAGAAAGATCAAGAAGCCACTACCTAAAGACAACATTAGCAAATAGATTCATCCCAATAGCAATAGCAATAGCAGTTAGACTTATATACCGCTTCATAGGGCTTTCAGCCCTCTCTAAGCG